CTCTAAACCATATTTTAATTAAAGTCTTCATAATATTTTGTTGGAAAGGAATCTGCGGCGTTTCCGGCGCTGGCAGGTGCGGCAGGTGGAGGCGATGCGCTGCAGGAGAGAGTGGCAACGGCAGCTGGCTGTGGAGAACGCAGGCAGTCTGGAGTGTCGGTTTAAACTCAACACTCACAAAATGGTGTTTGTTATGAACTCTGAGGACTACATGTACCGCAGAGGTGCGCTGGTGAAGGCCCGGAAGGTATGCTTCCCATTAGCCTCATGTGGCATAAAGCTAGTTATTTTTTAAACTTCATTCCAAAGAAATAAGGTGAGCTGTGAAATGTTGACTTTTTTTTAACCATCTCTTCCCCCCCACAGTCACAGCACAGAGTTGCAGCCTGCCAACATGAACGCTTTGACAAGTGGCACCAAAGCTGGCTGGCCAATCATGTCCCAGCCTCAGCCGAACGCTCAGTGCAGAACTGGCTAATGGGTGAGGAGGAGGAGGACTTCATACCCTGCAAGACCACCTGTCTGTCTACGGAGTTGAAAGGACAAACTGTTAACAGATACCAGGTTCATTACAGCAGTAGCAAAGCCCCCTCCTCACCATAAGGATCAGCAGGTAGACGGACACACACTCATTGGTAAAATGCATGGACTTATAGGACATCTGCACACTAAACAGACATAACCAGCTACAGTCCCATACCTCCGCGTCCCTCCCACATGGTCACCATGGATGACTGAGCACAGCGTGCACAGCAAGGAAGAGGACCAACAGACTGATATAATCAAGGAAAGCGATCAGTTTGTGACTGATGGGATCAGTCGGACTCAACTGCACAAACAGTTCATCTGCAGCAGATCTATCATTTTTTTTTTTTTTTTTTCTTTTTCTAATGTGTAGTTTTTAGCTTCTGAAGCCAGAGAGCCTTCTTCCTGTTGGTTGATTCATGTGTGTTTATATGGAGAGATAATGGTAAATGTTTGTATGTGTATCCTGCTCTCTACATTTTGTTTGTGAGTCCAGAACAGGCTTTATAACTATAGTATCTACATTATTACTGTATGTGCATATATACAGGGATCCTGTATTTTTATATATGCATCTACACAGGTCGAAACATAAGATGATTATGTGATTCCTTAAAGTATTTGTCAGCCAACTCTTGATGTTTGTGCTTTTTTTTTTTTCAATTTTTGTATTTTCTTTCTTTTTTGTGTTGTAGCTAAACAAGTTATCACCAGGGCAACAAGGAGTGCTTAAAGTTAATTGGTTTAATATAAATAAAACAGTCTGAACATGTACCATTTATTAATTTACAAAACATTTCTTTTGCATACTGACTTTAAAAATAAAAGGAAATTATCATCAGTGTTAAAAAAGAATGTATAATGTTTATCTTGTATCAGTTATCAGATAATAAACAACCTAGTTGTGACCTTCTTAGACATTGACTGACAGCCTTTTGTTTATATATTCCTGCTTGACTAAAGGTTGCACGAACATCAGAGAATCACCCAAAGCTTCAACACAGGTTAGTTTTTTTTTTTTTTCCCCAGATGAGCTCCTGGAGAAGAAAGTTAAACATTGTATGAAAATTCTCTTCCAGCGATGTTTAACTGCTGAGTTGAAACCTGTTCTACTGAGCAGACTGACATGGGTAAAAAAAAATACTTTGGATGTTGTTGGATCTGTGAAGAACTTTATATCAGCAGTTCAATTTAAAAAGTGAGACTTATAGATTTATTTGATGTGATAAACAATTAAGGAGAACCCACAGTTTTCTTAAGAACTGCATATTATATAACAAAGGACTTAAAAGTTGCTCACCAGATAGTTGGTGAAACCCACTAGCAGGAGAGCGATCCTAAAGGTGGGTTGTTCATTGTAGGGGAGAGAAACTGCCAGAGCCTGTGGATGCCCCATGTCTCCCTGTATGAATGCAGTAATTCAATCAAAAAAGACAAAAAAAAAAAAACACTAGAGTTCTGGGTTCATACTCCATGTAGTGTTTGGCAGAAAAAGCTTTTTTTCTCCAGGTACTTTGTGAGACAGCTGTTATTAGCTGTAAGCTATAATGGCTAATAAGACCTACCATTTCCATGCTGTGACCCTCTAAACTTCCTTAACATCACACAGAGCGCTATAAATAACTATTGCATCTGTTGAGCCTTATATCAGCACGTATATTCCCAATTAATAACAAAATCAAACCTCCAGTTATTGTGTAAAGGGAGTGCTGGTAATAATGTCTTCCACTTAACCATTTTATTGTCCACCTGTAGGTGTGCTCTGCATTTGTTTTCCAAAGTGCATTTTTAAGTAAAAAAAGCCAGACTCAGAAGTAGGTTGTTACAAAAGGACAAAGGCTGCATAACAATAGTCTGTCTGTCATGGTGGGATAGTCCTGTCTGGGGAAGAGCTTAAAGGTTTGGATTAAAATCCCCTCAGTTTGTCATCTCGGTATATTTATTCAAAATAATAAATATTAGATATTTTATGATAAAACAAACTTATCAAATTTTTGTCTTGAATAAATCTTGTATGCTTTTTTTTTTCCCACTTCCCACTGAATTTTAACCTTTCAACGATATTCAAAATGAGGCTGCACCTGCATGCAGGTCTCCATGTCCTCAGCCTTAGAATTTATGCCAGCTGTGTGATACCTATCGAATCCCCAGTGAGACGTCATAATGGGCTTATAATTAAATCCACCCTCAAAGGAAAAGTGCTATCTTTATGAAAGTAGAAATATATTTTTTAAAGCTCGATCAAGACTCTTCGTCATTATAGAGCTAATGAAATTTTGTCAGACTTGGATGCATGTATAAATATTACAGACAAAAAGAGATAAACAGAAAGTTAAAGGGCATGTCAGGAAGAATATATCGTTAAGGACATGTATGCCCAAAGCCGGCCCTTGAGGGCCACTGTCCTGCAAGTTTTACAGGTTTCCTGCCCTAGCACAGCTGATTTGCATTAAATATTGATTGGCAGGCTTTGCTGAACTGCAATAATCAGAATCAGCTGTGCTAAAGCAGGGAAACCTCTAAAAGCTGCAGGATAGCTGCCCTCGAGGACCACCCGAGAACTGTGAAATTATTGATTTTAGGATTTAGCTTGATATATTAACATATAGTGCAGTATGTGCTAGAGCAGCCCTTGGAAGGTGATTACTTTCAGCTTGGGGGAAAGAAAAATGTTTAAGCTGATTTGTTCTGGATGTAATGTTACTGAATTGTATTCCTGATGGAAGTGGCATGAACCCAAGGCCTGGGTGGCATCTGTAGAAATGTGTCCGTCCATTTACTCATCTTTGAAAATCTGAAACTCGTGAAATGTATCAGAGTTTCAAAGGGCAATCTGCCTTATATGATAAAAACATCACAGGAGACACGTGAAAAGTTACTAAAAACTGAAATATCCTTTGCAAAAAAAAAAAGGCTGTCCTTCAGAAACTCCTAATGGGATAAAGGACTGGACACGGCCCGGTCTAGGTTGAAAGTAGATCAGAAGCACATTACAATTGTGGACCACGTAATATTAATCATATTTTTCTTCACTACATGTTCTTGAGCAAAATTGGTCCCTAAAATTATTCAATCCATCATAGAATATTAGATTATTTCATTAAAATAGTTTAACTAAACTTTTCTTGTGAGTATTTAATTTCCCTGAATTCAGAAATCAATGATTGCATCAGTCTAAATGTAAACCACTTGAATAAACCTCATTGCACGGTAGATTGTAAATCAAAGGTGATTTTTAGGAACAAGTGATGCAACCAAAGGAAGGCTTTTCTTGGTGTTCATTGGCCAATGAACTCCATGATAAAAACCTGATTGGTGAAAGTCATGTTACATGTTAAATAATCCCTTGCAAATAATCCTTTGGATTAATAAACATCTTTAATGTAAAGCAAAAGGAAATACTCCAAAGTTTAGAGAGACCAGTACCTTACTTTAAATGCTAGGTGGGAATGTTTTAGGCCAATAAATGGGTTGTATGTGTGGAAAATGTTAGAATAAAGTAGGAAAGATCACTATGCTTTCAGAGAAGCATGGTGGTGGACTTTGGGGTTGAAGGGAAGATGGATCTAATGAAGTAAGAGGTCATCCTGGGAGAGAGTATCACACTGTAAGGAACCTGAAGCCTGGGCGTCATTGGACACTTTAACAGGACAAGGATCTTAACCACATCTCAGTGTCCACTTGAGTTTGGTTTCAAAGGATATGTGAGTCACCTGATTCAGCGTTATTTAAAAAAATCTTTAATTGGGTTTGAAAAGTGTTTCTGCACACAAATCTCTATAAAAATAAAAATGAACTGGAAAGCTTTGTCCATGACAAGTGGGTGTTGCTACATCTGGATTTCTGCAAGAAGTCAGTATGTAGCTGGAAGGCAAGAGGGAAACCATTACTAAAGATGCAGTAGAACATGGCATCCTGTGTTTAATTTGGAAATCTCTTTTATATAAAGCAGCTGTTTGTATACGTTGTCCATCTAATTTGCAGTGAGGGGTGAAACGAAGCTTGTGAATAAAGATGAAATGTAGCATCTATGTGGGATATTTCTTAGTGACTAAAATCAATATGCAGGCCAGAAAAAATGAATAGTATTTTCCACCTAAAAGGAATACATAACTGGATCCTGCTGGTAAACTGAAAACATCTTCAGATAAATAATAAAGAAAACACATCATGGATGTGTAAACCCTGGCTAACATTCTGCTTAAAGGGCAGTATGTTGTAGCCTGGGTGCCAGTCCGAACTTAGTCCCGCCCACTAGAATTGAGTCGGACTACGTCAGGCTAAGTATGTTGAAGAACTAGCTTTGAATTGGACTAAGAGCTACCACACATAGGTTAAAAAAAAAAAAAAAAAGTAGGAAACGTACAAGCAAAAGGAAACCAACAAACTGAGGACCAAATAAGAACCTGTGAATTAGACAAAGGGTCACACTGAAAACAGAAGGGGAAAGAAGGCTCAAGAGGCAGAGTGAGTTTTAAAAATAATCATGGTTTATAAAACCCAGATATGACAGGATCACCAAAGTGTATACAGAAATACAAATACCATGAAAGAATCGTTAAACACTCAACATGTACAAACTACTCTGTAAAAGTGACTTCGGGAGAAATGTTCAGACAACGAAACGTTTTCATTTCTCTTAAAAATCACATTTAGCCACAGTTTATTTACTGTTTCTTATTTTTCTAAAGTATCTTCTCAAAGCAGAACATCCACCTACCAAACTACAGTTACTATCACATTCAAATAGCTCAGAGAAAGGCTACGAACAACATCAAGATAAGGGAGGAGGAATGCACACATTTGAGCACTTTTACATCATGAAGGTTTTAGCAAGCAGTGGACAACAGAAAATCAGAGAAACATGAGATGTTTTTCCCCATCATTTCATCAAACATCAACTATACAAAATAACCCTGTTTTTCAGCGTAGATGAACAGACACAGGTCATCTAAACATTTCCTCGCAGGCAGAGATCTGGGATCACTTCACTATCTTCTTCTTGGACCACAGTCTGTTCCGGGGATGCAGTGAAATGTGTCAAAGTGCTTCTGTCTGCAGGACAGTCACCAACAACAGATTTCACAACTATTTTCATGCACTTTCACGAATGTATTAACAGCTTAACAGCCTCAGGAATTCCCCCAACACGAGGCTTTGAAATTCAAAGAAACCACCAACAAGATACAGTAAAACATTGCTTCTTCCTTTTTATAAAAACACGTTTCAAAAGCTTTACACAGGAAGAGATGGAAAAAAAAAACAAAGATTGCAGGACTGTGAACAATGAACAAAAAGCTCCTCGTCACCTAAAAAATACTGCTTGTCCAGGAGCACAAATGGCTACCAAAACTAATTCATCATTGTCGGTGTGTGCAAAGACTACTAATATACACTATGTCGAATAAATTAAGAGCTATGTACAAAGTAAAAACTAGAGCAGCATGCAGGCAAGACGACACAACCTTTGTACAGCACTGCACTCCGACGAGAAAGAGGCAATGTGGGCTGTCAGTGTGCGTGTGAATGTCTGTTATAGTGTATGTGCACAGTATTGATATGGACAGAGAGGTTTTCCCTCCTTTAAACTTTCCACTTCACATTAAGCTCAGATAGGAGTTCAAGCCCCATCTTTTCTTGTACAGCCAGGGTCTCTTTTCTAGAAGCAGGAACCAACTTACAGATATTTCAAACATATGTGAGCAAAGCCAGCATATGAGATATAAGTAGACATCAGTAGGTGTATCTGAAGCGACCACAACACCTGCAGTCAAACAGGCTACACTGAAGATTAGGAACATGAAGAAAGGCAGAATAGCTTTTTTTTCCTTACTAGAAATATAAAAGCTAAATTTCTCTATGTTTTTTAGCTGAATCCTAGCGCAAAATAAAAAACAAATTGGCCTTTCATGTCAGCATAAAGACTTTTTGTTATTTAGCTGGGGCTGTGATCCTGCATATCGAATATTTCCAGTAATGTTTTTTTTTTTTTTAGCAGAACTGTTACAGAGACTTTATTCCTAAACTTAAACAATGATTTAATCTCTATCTGGACAGCAAGCATCCAAATATGAAGCTGTCTTTGTTTCTGTTTGTAGATGATCAGCATCATATCTAATCTTGATTTTTATTACAGGTGCATCTCAGTTGATTATATCAAAGAAGAAATGTTCATCTATGCCAGTACTTGACTTCAAAAAGTAAAACTAATTCATATTTATGACACACAGAGGGACAATTTAAAGTATTAGTTTCTGTTATTTTGATGATTATGGCTCACAGCTAACCAACAGTTTAGTTTAATCCCAGATGTGTTTAGTTAATGTGGTTTACACAATATAATCTACAAAAGACCTCTGTTAAGGAAGAATGATATTGCCTTGAGCAGGCATACAGATGGAAAGTTGAATGAAAATAAAAAGACTGTACAAGTAACAGGGATAAACTTAGTCTTGAAACCAAAGCCTATTCATGAGTTTGAGGGATTTTTATAAGACTTTAAAAGCAGCTGGAGTTAATAACAACTGGTCCATATTCGGATGTTAGGAGAAGAGCTAGAGGACGCTATTAAATCAGCCTGGGCTGGCATCACCATGGGTTGTTCTCCACCATTGAGACATTAATTCATGCAAAATTACATCCTTTAACTGGTCCACTCTAATTTTTGTTGTCTTAAAAAATATTCAAATTCCTGGAGAAACTGAATATTTATTTTTCAGTTGCTGTTTGCCACAATCGTAAGAGTAAACAGGGATAAACACTTCAAAATGTCCTTCTGTGTGCAACAAATCTTTAGTGAGACACACCTATATAAAAAAAACTTTTGTATATCATGGCACGTTATTTAACCAGATCCCCATTTGTGTGTCTAATAAGCCTCAAACAGCCTAAAAAAGCAGAGTTTGGGAAATAGAGCCGGTTTAGGGTTATGAAGAAAAAAACTCTCTGGCTATGTTATCTATTGACTTGTTCAGGCAGACTTAATGATCTAGTTTTTTCTTATTTGAGACACATTCATCGGAAGAAAACTTTGGTAACCGGTGTTAATTGCAATGCATGCACCTTAGCTGTAGTTAGTGTAAAAGAGCACCTTTAGACAACATCATAGATTTAAAATCCACTAATTAATGTTGGGGAGTAATGCAGGGCTCTGTGTTTTTCATAAAAACGTGGCACGTTTAACATTATAAAATACATCAACAGTCAAAGTGAGGAGGTTCAAACTAGTTTCATTAGTATAAACAACACATCTATAGTAGTAATACACTTGAAAACATACAGTAAAGAAATTTCAAACAGAAGTATTTGAATAGAAAACATCTTTTTTTAACGAAATTTTTCCTTGTTTTATGTTGTAAACGCACTTTTCCTGCAAGCGCTTCAAGGGTTGTGATCGTTCGCTGACGTACTACAACTAAAGGAAAAAAGGAACTTAATAAAAGGAGTATAAAAAGAATCAACAAGTTGAAACCAGTTGATTTGTTAGATAAGCTGTTCAGTCCGTAGATCTATAGGGTTTTAGTCTTTTACTGGCTTCTTCTTCTTCTTCTCCCTGTTGATCCTAGTGTGGTTAGAAAGGCATGTGAACAGTCGTCTGCAGCCTGTCCTGAAGAGAAACTAAAAAAGCCTGAAACATATCATAGTAAAAAAAAAGAAAAGTAGATACTAAAGAAGTCATTTTTATATAATAAAAGCATTAAATCATCCCAGGCAGTGTGTTCTGCTTCTGTAAGTTAAGTGAAGGTTTTTTTTTTTGACACCAGTCCATCTGTGTGAATGTAGCTCTCTCCTCAACAGTACCAAGATGACACGTTGCTTGTGCTTCAGCAGGTTTGTCTTTGTGTTTCTGTGTCTCTGGATTGTGTAATGGGTTTGCTATACTTATAAAGACCAACTTTCAACACTTTAAAGGAGTTTAAAAGATGAGGTAAGTTCTGTAAAGCTGATGACTTTCCTCATTTATTGAATGTTATACAGTAATGTTTGAGCTAACATGTTATAATATGGAGGGGGAGAGGAAAGAAGGTCCTTATAAATATAGTGTGGTGCCTATGTGCGAATTATGTGCTCAGCTGAAGGCCTCGTCATCCATATCCTCAATCAGCACCTTTGTGTCCTTCTTGGATCTGAGGAGAAGAAGAAATAGGATGTTTATTCAATAAATCCATTAATCCTTTCTGCTATTAAAAAAAAAAAAAAATTCAAAATGTTGCTTCAAGGCTATTTTTCATATATTATTTCTCATGTTTTGTGGAAGTCAAACTACCTTTCATAAAAACCAGTCAAGTAACAGAAATGTGTCATTAGATACTTCAAAAACGTATTAAACAATGTAGAAGAAGTTATAGTCATGGACAAAAATGAACAGTGAAAATCACCCTTCTCTGTTCAGAATTCACTGTTGTGTTGTTACTGTTTATGTCAAGTAAGCATCAGTTTTTCTGGAAGAAAGTCTGTTGCTGTACTGCTATGTTAACATAGAATATTTTTCATGTTCAAATAGATCTCAGTATTTTAATCTTTTTTTCACAGCTCAGAGTTTCCCATTAATTTTCTCAATATTTTTTCAGAAAATTCCCCGTCCTACATCTCAATCCACTGAATATGGAAGCCAGTTTCTGCTCATGAAAGTAAAAAATGCCAGATAAATTATGAGATATTCAACTTTTAAACTTTGTATGACTTTGAAAATTTAAATTGACGTTATAACTCATAATTATGACTTTTTATCTCATTATTATGACTTTCTATTTGGCATTTTTTTTATTTTCATGTGGCAGAAACGGGCTTCCATAACAAAGCTTTTTGGAGGTTGTGGAAGTAAAACAGCAGTGAAATCTTATCAAGCTCATCTGAATCTGATCCTATGTTACATAATGAAGAAGTGGGTGTGCTCACAAAAGAAGTATTTCTGCTTTCTTTTACTTTCTGTTTTACTATGAACACAACATTCATGTACAGATTAATTATTTACTCTCCTTTATTATTAAACTAGAACAAAAATTGATTGCATAAAGCTAAGGAATCTTTGGTTACTTACTGCGAGGAGGACAGCAGGGGGCGTCGGAGAGACAGGCTGTAGGACCTCTTCCAGGCCTTTTTGCCTGAGCGGTTCTTGACACCGTCTTCCTGGTCCATCATCTGCTCCAGCAACGTCTGGTCATCAGCGTTGAGCGGCGCCACTGAGATATCTCTCACAGCACGAAACTCACCACAGTTATTCAGGTGTTCGTTCTCCAGACGGAAGAAGTTCCACACAAACCGCCTTATAGGAAGGTGGAAAGAGGAAGGTAGGTGACTGTGGGGGCCATGGAACCTTGTATAGCTTATGAGTTTTAGCTGAGGGATCCTGTCTGTCAGGGAACCACTGAGGAGTAAAACAAGAACAGAAGGAAACGCTGTTTCGACTCACCTGAAGACTTCAAGAGGAGCCAGGACGGTGGCCACGATGTCCCCTATAGAGTGAGTCTTGGTCATTGTTGAAAGGGAGATCTGGATCGTCCAGGCAAAACGCAAGATCACATCCTCTACTATGGCACAGTAGTAGTAGGCCTGGACAGATAAACAGAGTTATTTAGAGAATAATATGGTCGGACATAGCTACAAACAGCAGTAATCCATTTTAGTAGAAACATTCAGGACTGATTACATTCATGAGAAAATCTAATCTGTGTGAAGCTTTTGGGAATTAAGTTATGTAAAGAAAAAACAAACAAAAAAAAACTCCAAGGCCTGACCAAGAATCAGATTAATTTTTTTTATTGTAAAGGTATAAATTACAATTTTTATTTTGTCTTTTTTTCTGTAGAGATTGATTGTTGACTGACTTTGAGTCCAGCTGCAGTTAATGTGAGAAACCTTTTCCTGTTCTTTGTGAACATGATATTCAGGTGTTAAATGTTTGCTTAACTAGAGGAGGAACATTACTGCGCTGGCTCTTTAACGACAGTGCTGATTCATTCTCATCTGTCTGAACCTTCCAATGAAAGCTTATGCCAAAATGAGTCAGATTCATAGTGCTGTTTCTGAGCATGCCATTAGTAACCTAGGGTGTATTTCTACAGTTCTCTGAGTGTTATTTAAGCTCAGAAGTTATGGGTCATTGAGTTTTCATTATTTTACATAGATTTGACCTTTGACCCTACCTTGTGTGGGTAGACAATTTCTTCTCTCAGGAAGGTGTTTTCCCCAGCTCCCCGATCGAACAGACCCCAGTCCATGCGCAGATCCCAGATCAGCGTGTAGAGGGAGCTGATGGTGGAGAACACGATCAAAAGGTACAAAAACATATCCGCATCTGTGTGTCCTTGTTCTGAAAAAAAAAAAGCACACAAAGACAACAGATGTGAAATTATTTCTGAGATAATTCCAAATAACCAATTTAACTTTATGTCCACAGGGGGGAGCTGTCCTACCATGAGTTCAATGATGGTTTTAACAGGTGATCTGAAGCATGCTTTTCATTTTTGTTCAAATTAGAAAGTGTATTAACAGTTGCATAAACATTTAGCTGATTTGCTTTGCACATTTTATAATGTCCTGATAATAAATATATTATAACATTATACTTTCAATGACTAAACTATCACAGATATTAGTTTTTTTATGTAAATGTTCAGGAGTTTAGTAAGTAGACTCGGAGGTTTGTACCTAGGACCTTCTTGCAGCAAGGCAACAGTACCACCAATGGCCCCTTTTTTTTTTTTTTATAAATTCATTAACTTNAGCATCTATGTGGGATATTTCTTAGTGACTAAAATCAATATGCAGGCCAGAAAAAATGAATAGTATTTTCCACCTAAAAGGAATACATAACTGGATCCTGCTGGTAAACTGAAAACATCTTCAGATAAATAATAAAGAAAACACATCATGGATGTGTAAACCCTGGCTAACATTCTGCTTAAAGGGCAGTATGTTGTAGCCTGGGTGCCAGTCCGAACTTAGTCCCGCCCACTAGAATTGAGTCGGACTACGTCAGGCTAAGTATGTTGAAGAACTAGCTTTGAATTGGACTAAGAGCTACCACACATAGGTTAAAAAAAAAAAAAAAAAGTAGGAAACGTACAAGCAAAAGGAAACCAACAAACTGAGGACCAAATAAGAACCTGTGAATTAGACAAAGGGTCACATTGAAAACAGAAGGGGAAAGAAGGCTCAAGAGGCAGAGTGAGTTTTAAAAATAATCATGGTTTATAAAACCCAGATATGACAGGATCACCAAAGTGTATACAGAAATACAAATACCATGAAAGAATCGTTAAACACTCAACATGTACAAACTACTCTGTAAAAGTGACTTCGGGAGAAATGTTCAGACAACGAAACGTTTTCATTTCTCTTAAAAATCACATTTAGCCACAGTTTATTTACTGTTTCTTATTTTTCTAAAGTATCTTCTCAAAGCAGAACATCCACCTACCAAACTACAGTTACTATCACATTCAAATAGCTCAGAGAAAGGCTACGAACAACATCAAGATAAGGGAGGAGGAATGCACACATTTGAGCACTTTTACATCATGAAGGTTTTAGCAAGCAGTGGACAACAGAAAATCAGAGAAACATGAGATGTTTTTCCCCATCATTTCATCAAACATCAACTGTACAAAATAACCCTGTTTTTCAGCGTAGATGAACAGACACAGGTCATCTAAACATTTCCTCGCAGGCAGAGATCTGGGATCACTTCACTATCTTCTTCTTGGACCACAGTCTGTTCCGGGGATGCAGTGAAATGTGTCAAAGTGCTTCTGTCTGCAGGACAGTCACCAACAACAGATTTCACAACTATTTTCATGCACTTTCACGAATGTATTAACAGCTTAACAGCCTCAGGAATTCCCCCAACACGAGGCTTTGAAATTCAAAGAAACCACCAACAAGATACAGTAAAACATTGCTTCTTCCTTTTTATAAAAACACGTTTCAAAAGCTTTACACAGGAAGAGATGGAAAAAAAAAACAAAGATTGCAGGACTGTGAACAATGAACAAAAAGCTCCTCGTCACCTAAAAAATACTGCTTGTCCAGGAGCACAAATGGCTACCAAAACTAATTCATCATTGTCGGTGTGTGCAAAGACTACTAATATACACTATGTCGAATAAATTAAGAGCTATGTACAAAGTAAAAACTAGAGCAGCATGCAGGCAAGACGACACAACCTTTGTACAGCACTGCACTCCGACGAGAAAGAGGCAATGTGGGCTGTCAGTGTGCGTGTGAATGTCTGTTATAGTGTATGTGCACAGTATTGATATGGACAGAGAGGTTTTCCCTCCTTTAAACTTTCCACTTCACATTAAGCTCAGATAGGAGTTCAAGCCCCATCTTTTCTTGTACAGCCAGGGTCTCTTTTCTAGAAGCAGGAACCAACTTACAGATATTTCAAACATATGTGAGCAAAGCCAGCATATGAGATATAAGTAGACATCAGTAGGTGTATCTGAAGCGACCACAACACCTGCAGTCAAACAGGCTACACTGAAGATTAGGAACATGAAGAAAGGCAGAATAGCTTTTTTTTCCTTACTAGAAATATAAAAGCTAAATTTCTCTATGTTTTTTAGCTGAATCCTAGCGCAAAATAAAAAACAAATTGGCCTTTCATGTCAGCATAAAGACTTTTTGTTATTTAGCTGGGGCTGTGATCCTGCATATCGAATATTTCCAGTAATGTTTTTTTTTTTTTTAGCAGAACTGTTACAGAGACTTTATTCCTAAACTTAAACAATGATTTAATCTCTATCTGGACAGCAAGCATCCAAATATGAAGCTGTCTTTGTTTCTGTTTGTAGATGATCAGCATCATATCTAATCTTGATTTTTATTACAGGTGCATCTCAGTTGATTATATCAAAGAAGAAATGTTCATCTATGCCAGTACTTGACTTCAAAAAGTAAAACTAATTCATATTTATGACACACAGAGGGACAATTTAAAGTATTAGTTTCTGTTATTTTCATGATTATGGCTCACAGCTAACCAACAGTTTAGTTTAATCCCAGATGTGTTCAGTTAATGTGGTTTACACAATATAATCTACAAAAGACCTCTGTTAAGGAAGAATGATATTGCCTTGAGCAGGCATACAGATGGAAAGTTGAGTGGAAGGAAAACAAAGGGTAGGAAAATAAAAAGAGTGTACAAGTAACAGGGATTAACTTAGTCTTGAAACCAAAGCCTATTCATGAGTTTGAGGGATTTTTATAAGACTTTAAAAGCAGCTGGAGTTAATAACAACTGGTCCATATTCGGATGTTAGGAGAAGAGCTAAAGGACGCTATTAAATCAGCCTGGGCTGGCATCACCACGGGTTGTTCTCCACCATTGAGACATTAATTGATGCAAAATTACATCCTTTAATTGGTCCACTCTTCTTTTTGTTGTCTTAAAAAATATTCAAATTCCTGGAGAAACTGAATATTTATTTTTCAGTTGCTGTTTGCCACAATCGTAAGAGTAAACAGGGATAAACACTTCAAAATGTCCTTCTGTGTGCAACAAATCTTTAGTGAGACACACCTATATAAAAAAAACTTTTGTATATCATGGCACGTTATTTAACCAGATCCCCATTTGTGTGTCTAATAAGCCTCAAACAGCCTAAAAAAGCAGAGTTTGGGAAATAGAGCCGGTTTAGGGTTATGAAGAAAAAAACTCTCTGGCTATGTTATCTATTGACTTGTTCAGGCAGACTTAATGATCTAGTTTTTTCTTATTTGAGACACATTCATCGGAAGAAAACTTTGGTAACCGGTGTTAATTGCAATGCATGCACCTTAGCTGTAGTTAGTGTAAAAGAGCACCTTTAGACAACATCATAGATTTAAAATCCACTAATTAATGTTGGGGAGTAATGCAGGGCTCTGTGTTTTTCATAAAAACGTGGCACGTTTAACATTATAAAATACATCAACAGTCAAAGTGAGGAGGTTCAAACTAGTTTCATTAGTATAAACAACACATCTATAGTAGTAATACACTTGAAAACATACAGTAAAGAAATTTCAAACAGAAGTATTTGAATAGAAAACATCTTTTTTTAACGAAATTTTTCCTTGTTTTATGTTGTAAACGCACTTTTCCTGCAAGCGCTTCAAGGGTTGTGATCGTTCGCTGACGTACTACAACTAAAAGAAAAAAGGAACTTAATAAAAGGAGTATAAAAAGAATCAACAAGTTGAAACCAGTTGATTTGTTAGATAAGCTGTTCAGTCCGTAGATCTATAGGGTTTTAGTCTTTTACTGGCTTCTTCTTCTTCTTCTTCTCCCTGTTGATCCTAGTGTGGTTAGAAAGGCATGTGAACAGTCGTCTGCAGCCTGTCCTGAAGAGAAACTAAAAAAGCCTGAAACATATCATAGTAAAAAAAAAGAAAAGTAGATACTAAAGAAGTCATTTTTATATAATAAAAGCATTAAATCATCCCAGGCAGTGTGTTCTGCTTCTGTAAGTTAAGTGAAGGTTTTTTTTTTTTGACACCAGTCCATCTGTGTGAATGTAGCTCTCTCCTCAACAGTACCAAGATGACACGTTGCTTGTGCTTCAGCAGGTTTGTCTTTGTGTTTCTGTGTCTCTGGATTGTGTAATGGGTTTGCTATACTTATAAAGACCAACTTTCAACACTTTAAAGGAGTTAAAAGATGAGGTAAGTTCTGTAAAGCTGATGACTTTCCTCATTTATTGAATGTTATACAGTAATGTTTGAGCTAACATGTTATAATATGGAGGGGGAGAGGAAAGAAGGTCCTTATAAATATAGTGTGGTGCCTATGTGCGAATTATGTGCTCAGCTGAAGGCCTCGTCATCCATATCCTCAATCAGCACCTTTGTGTCCTTCTTGGATCTGAGGAGAAGAAGAAATAGGATGTTTATTCAATAAATCCATTAATCCTTTCTGCTATTAAAAAAAAAAAAAAATTCAAAATGTTGCTTCAAGGCTATTTTTCATATATTATTTCTCATGTTTTGTGGAAGTCAAACTACCTTTCATAAAAACCAGTCAAGTAACAGAAATGTGTCATTAGATACTTCAAAAACGTATTAAACAATGTAGAAGAAGTTATAGTCATGGACAAAAATGAACAGTGAAAATCACCCTTCTCTGTTCAGAATTCACTGTTGTGTTGTTACTGTTTATGTCAAGTAAGCATCAGTTTTTCTGGAAGAAAGTCTGTTGCTGTACTGCTATGTTAACATAGAATATTTTTCATGTTCAAATAGATCTCAGTATTTTAATCTTTTTTTCACAGCTCAGAGTTTCCCATTAATTTTCTCAATATTTTTTCAGAAAATTCCCCGTCCTAC